AAGGGGGGTGGGGGGGGGGGGGGGGGGGGGGCGGGGGGTCAGAACTGAGCAGCAATGGTAGAGGCGGTGGTAGGAGGCCCTCAGCCTGGAAGAGGGGAGGAGTTGCCAGCAAGGATTGTGGGGCCCCAGCAGATCTGGGTGATGGGCAGCCCCTCCCTGGTGTCCCCTCAGCCTCCTGGCACCACTGTTTCCAGGGGCATCTGGCTGAGGTGCATGACATGAACAGTTAACCCAGCCTCGGCACAAGCAGGAAACTGTCTCAGCTGCCAGGGGCTGAGTCACAAAAAGAAGGCAGGCTGTGGCTTTTGGGTTGCTGTGACAATAATGGTGAGAGAGTTGATGCCATGCCTATATTTAGCATTCGCAGGAGGATCTGAAAACCCGGGGCTGTCCCAGCATCCCATCCAGGAGCTCTGGTTCTGGCCTGTTCTTCTGTCAAAAGCTAACCTGCTCAGCCTCCACTCCTGGGCTGCATTTCCCATCTATTGTCTCCCATGTCTCCAGGCACCTCCTCTTCCTGACCCCCTCCTGCTATTTCCAGCCCTGGTTGCTCACTGCTCTTGTTCCACCCCCACACACCCTGCAGCTTGGTGCGTCCCTGAGTGACAGGAGCACCTGGGGTTGGCACACGCTGCCTCCCCTCTCCTCCTGCCAGCTCCTGGCCTCCCCAGAGCCCCTCTCCTGCCAAGATGGAGGTCTGGGAGGGGGCCAAGCCATTGGGCACCATGCCCACCCAGCTCAGTCATAGGGGCTGCATAATAATGGAGGTGGTGGTCTTTGCATAATCCCCCAGGTCACAGTGATGCCCCTTAGACCACTCTTGTGCAGCAGAGAGGGAGAGGGAGAGGGAGCACTCACCCTTCTGCTCCCACAGAGTCAGCAATGGGGTTACCAGTGCCCTGCACATAATCCTGCGGGAAACCACCTCTGGGATCTAATCTACTCCCTGTTGACCCCTTCTGCATCAGGGTTGTTGGGGATGCAGCTGGTTTTTTAATTGTATCTGAGCAGGGCTGTCAAACTCATCAGGCCCTGCTGGCCAGAGGAGTGGCATTGGACTAGTCCACAGGCTGGATGAATAGCATGGGGCAGGCTCTATGTGCTGGATTGGGCCCATAAGCCCCCACCCCTTCATACACTGGATCCAGCACCCACTCTAGCCAGTCTGGGACACAAGCTGCAAATGGCACCCACTCCAGCAGGTCTGGGACCCATGCTGCCTGTGGCACCTGCCCCAAAACAGGCCCTGTGGGCACTGGATATGGCATTTGTGGGGGCGGGTCCCAGACTGGCCCCACACAGGTGCTGGGTGCAGTGCAGGACCCAGACTGGCTTCATGCAGGTGCCATGTGCAGCATGGGCCTAGTCCAATGAATGCCACATGTGGGTCAACTTGAGATCGAGGGGCAGCACTGGGGGCTGGACAGTGGGGCTCGATGGGCTACATCCAGCCCATGTGCTGTGTCCGTGACACCCCTGGATTAGGGGATCCCATACAGAGCTGACCAGTGAGGGAGGGAAGCAGAGGCAGGAGTCTACCTCAGGGAGCGGCAGGAGGTTGAAAGTCACAGTGACCCAGCAGGGAGGCAGGGGGGAGCTGTATGCTGGGTGAGGGCCTGACCCCATCTCCTTGCTCCCCAGGTGACTGCTGGCTGTTGGCTGCCATTGGCTCCTTGACCCTCAATGAAGAGCTCCTGCATCGTGTGGTGCCCCATGGGCAGAGCTTCCAGGAGGAGTATGCAGGCATCTTCCATTTCCAGGTAGGGCTAAGGGAAGCACTGCCTCTCACCTCCAGGGTGGGAGCTGGTGCCCACAGCCTCTGGGAATGGCTACTGGGGGATCCATGCCTAAGAATGGAGGTCTCCTCCAGGGGTCTGCTTCTCCTGAGTCAGCATGGGGCTCCTCAGCCCCAAGCTCTGCAGCTGTCCCCTACATTGGGCAGCTCAGCCATGCCCCGCTCACCCCATTCCTCCTCCCGCTGCAGATCTGGCAGTTTGGCGAGTGGGTGGATGTGGTGGTTGACGACCGGTTACCGACCAAGGATGGGGAGCTGGTGTTTGTGCACTCAGCAGAGTGCACCGAATTCTGGAGTGCCCTGCTGGAGAAAGCCTATGCCAAGTGAGTGCTGGCAGGGAGGCCGGGGGTTGACAGGAAGGAGGGGCAACATGGGGAGCAAGTCTGGGGTAGGGAGAGTGGGGATGGGGGGAGATCCTGTTCTGTGGCTGTCTTTTCTGGAGAGCTGTTTCCCCTACCACTGCTGGCCTGGGACCCTGAAGGACTCCCTAGGAGCAGGAGGGGGAACCCAGTGTTGTCAGGGTCATCCTGCTAATGCCTCTGGCGGTGTCTGGTTGGCGTGCAGGCTGAATGGCTCCTATGAGGCCCTGTCAGGGGGCAGCACCACAGAAGGCTTTGAGGACTTCACCGGTGGCGTGGCAGAAATGTACGACCTCAAGCGGCCACCCCGCAACCTAGACAGGGTCATCTGCAAGGCTCTGGAGAGAGGCTCCCTGCTCGGCTGCTCCATTGACGTAAGAGGCACCCCTGTTTCCTGCCCTTCCCTGATGAGGGACTGCAGGGAGTTTAGAGTTGCAACCTGCCCGCATATACCCCTAACCCCACAGGCACTAAAGCTGGGCTGCTCCCTGCACTCTCCCTCTGCAGCCTGGAGCCCAGGTGTGAAATGGTCCAGGTCCAGGCCCACATCACAGATCTTTGAGCTGGATGGACCATGCCCCACCCAGATCCCTTGGCTGGACACAGCATAGCACCCGGCTGAGCCTGGGGCAGAGAGAGCCAGGGCTCAGGCAGTGTCATGACCCCATGTGGGTGTCCGTGGTGGGGGATTTGGTATTCTCCTACAGTGAACCATGGAGTGCTGAGAGACCATTTGTACCCCTCATTCTTCAATGATGGAAGGTATCAAAACAACAAGTGTGTGTGTGGTGCCCCCTTGTGCTGAGAGTGCCTCAGCACAAGCTTACTGGACCTCTGTAAGAAGAGACCATGAATTAAAACAGTCCTGCCACTCCTGTTGCTAGACTGTGTCACCCCAAGCCTCTAGGGGGAGGGGCCAGAGCCTCTTTGCACATGCCTCCCAGGGGTTATGCAAGGACTCCCTGCCAGTAGAATAGCTCCCTGCACCAGCTCCCCAGGCCATTTCCTCACCCCTGCTCCAGGCCTGCATAACCTATTTCAGCCATTGCTGCACCATGATTTTCAGCTGCTGTGGTGAAAGGAGGGAAAAACCACCCAGCCAAGCCACCTCTTGCAGCCTACCAGGAGCCCAAGGACCGCTGCCAGTGTAGCAAAGGCAGCTCCAACCTGCACCTCTAGCATGGAGACTGCAGCTCCCAGTATGCCAAGCACTCCATCTCACTCTGAAAGGCTGGGCCACTGGACCAGTGCTTGCAGAAGCCTGTAGTCTCCCTGGACAGCAGCACCCCCCTGTGACTGGTTAGGTCTCAGCACTGTGCCTTGGGCACCCCAAAACGCTTTTTTTTAAATCAAGCATAGGTAGTAACTCAGGACTGGAAGGGGTCTCCTGGGCCATTGAGTCCTGATCCCTGCGTCCACTGGCAGTTGTTAACCAAAGGAATCTCTAAAACTGCATGGCAAATCCTTCATTCTCAGCTAGAGATAAACAGTGTCCTACAGCATGCCCTAAATAATAGGGGAGACAAGGGCACTGCCAGTGCCTTGCTAGTGCAAAAACAGTGAAGCAGTTGGTTAATGTATGCTCAGAAGATCCTTCAGAAACAACCATGCTGCACACTACAGAAGAAGAGAGAAAACCCCACAGTCGCTGTCAATCTGACCTAGAGGAACTATTCCTTCCTGGCCTCAGATCTAGTGACCAGAAGGACTTTGAACAGAAGTTCAAGAGCTTCTAGACAGGAACCTTCAAGTTTTCTAGATACAGTACTGGCAGAAGCATCAGCATCAGCACATCCCAGTCAACGCCCCCAGCCCTAGTTGTGACCAGCAGCCCAGTGCCTCAGAGGAAGGCAGAACGCCCCTTCCCCAGAAGCCAGTAGCATTCACAAAGGGCAAAAGAACCTTCCTCACCCTCCACCTGCAGTCAGCAAAGGCCCTGAGGCCTGGGACTACCATGCCGCACTACCCACAGGTAATTGTTAACCAGTGAACATAACACTACCACAGCTACTTTTATACACCCCCACTTCCTCCCCAGGGACTGCAAGTACCTGACTCCACATCGCAAACTCTTACACACACGCACACGCGCGCGCGCGATTGGCATGCCAGAACTCCCTGCCTACTCCCTATCATACCACCCCTTCCATCAAAGAGATGCAGGTTCTTTGCCCCCCACCACTTGGCTTGGAAAACTGTTTCAAAGCATCACTCCTGCTAGATAAAAATCTCCAAATTTCTCATCTAAGCTTGTTCATAGCCAGTTTGTAGTCATTTGATCTTGTGTTGCTAGTGTTCTTGAGCCTGAAGAGTTCTTCTTCCTTAATATTCATCACACAAATGTACTTCTCTAATAGTCATTTCAGACCCAAGAGTAGGTGTGCTGGTTGATAGCAGCCAAAGGATTCAACAGACTGGCTCTCTCATTGATGGATCTAAAATGCTGACTAATGGGTCCTTGCCCCTTTCTAATGCTGAAGCAGTCTGGGGGACTGAGGTGTCTCTGAGGGAGAGTGCCAGTGTCTCCTAGCTAAAGGAGGTGGTGATGAGCCTGGTCAGGGAGATCTACATTGTCCTGTGCTCCAAGTCAACCCAATGCTTTGTGTTTTGCCTTCAGATCACAAGTGCCTTTGATATGGAAGCAGTGACCTTCAAGAAGCTGGTAAAGGGTCACGCTTACTCTGTCACCGGCTTTAAGGAGGTGAGTCTGGCTGCCTGGGACAAACAGAGAAATGTAAATAGCTTCCCAGTGACATGAGTTTGACCTCTGACTCCTGGCCTCCGACAGGTGGACTACCGCGGGCGCCAGGAACAGCTTATCCGCATCAGGAACCCTTGGGGTCAGGTGGAGTGGACCGGAGCATGGAGTGACGGGTGAGTTAGATCTGATCGTTCTGCTGCATACCTAGCTGTCACGGATAGAAGGAGGGTCTCATCATGCAGGGTCTGAAGAGGGCATTTGCATGGCAGAGCCAAGGGGAAGTTTGCAGTCTGGGGTGTCCCTTGTAGCACCATCCAAGGGCAGACTCTGAGGTACCTTCTGCTGAGTCATGTTAGTATCTCCCATCTCACTGCCTCTCTCCTGCCCTCCCAGCTCCTCTGAGTGGAACAACATTGACCCCAGTGACCAAGCGGAGCTGCAGCTGAAGATGGAAGATGGAGAGTTCTGGTGAGTGCTGCAGAGGCGGAGGGTGCCGGAAGGGGAGGCAGCACCCCTGCTGGACCTGTGATGGGGCTGCCAGGATCTGGTTCTCAGGTCTTACAGACTCCGTCACTCTTAGCTGAATCTCTAAGACTTTGGGAACCTGGCCAGGTTTCTCCATCCTCTCCTCCCAGGCTCATAATTCTTTCCTGCTCTCTTCAGCCCTCCCAACACACACACTGGACACCTTGACCTGACTGGCCCCCAGAGCACATGAGCCGCCATGCAAGGGCCTGGCATGGCTTGTCCACATGCAGTCCTTTTCCTTCAGTCCGGTGTCCAACCCACTGCTAGGTGGTTCCCGATAAAGCCTGGATTCCAGGCTCAGCCTGATGGCAAGAAGATCCTGTTGGGCCTGTTTCTGTGCAGAAGAACTTGGTGCTGGGGGATTGGCAGTGGGGGCTCTGCATATGCAGCCCTGTGGAGGGAGCCTACATCTGGGTCTGGGCACAGTCAGTGACATTCCTCACTTTCACCCTCCCCAAGCCCAATCTGATAAATTGTGTTACTGAAGGAGCCCAGGTTAGCCCAGCTCAGGCCAACAAGTTTATGCCAGCTAGTGCCCATGGACACACAGGAACTCCTTTTGTGCTTAGCATTACTGGGTAGGAGAGGGCAGGGAGGAAATAGCCAGTGCTGGGTCAGTCACTGCTGGATCAGACAGTGTAAGCTGAGTGAGTGGGCTTCCCTGAGCATGTCCTTTGAGCTTCTCTTGAAAGCCTGAGGCTCTTAAAAAGGGAACATAGGGTGGAAGGGAGGCGCAGCCAGAGGAAGGGAGGGTGATTAGGTCTCAGAAAGGTGGAGTCTCCTGAGGGTATGGCCAGCCAGGGAACCAGACTCTGAATTTGGAAGCTTCTCCTGCAGAAATCTCCCAGCTCTCCAGTGTCTCTCAGTCTCTTCTCTCCCACCTGCTATGCAGGATGTCTTTCCGGGACTTCATGAGGGAGTTCTCCAGACTGGAGATCTGTAACCTCAGCCCTGATGCCCTGACCAAGGACAACGTGAGCAAGTGGCACACACAGTTGTTTGAGGGCACGTGGCACCGGGGCAGCACTGCCGGGGGCTGCAGGAACCATCCAGGTACTGCCTCCACCCCCAGTCCCTTCCCTCAGTGACCTTCTCAGCAGCGAGAAGGGGTGGTAGGCTGGGGAAGTGGGGTGGCCTGGTTCCTGTGCTAACACTAAAGAGCCTGTTGGGGAGGAGTAACACGTAGAGCCCAGCATGTCAGAGCTTGGGGAGCAGGGGTAAGTGGCTGGCAGGCAGAGAGCAGGGTGTGGGCTAGGAGTTCACATCTTCTACAGCTTCCCCTGGGGGCAGCAGGGTCAATGGGTAGGGGGCTGCAGGGCTTGGTCATGCTGAGTGCATCATTCCCACCTCCCCCAGCCACATTCTGGATCAACCCCCAGTTCAAGATCAAGCTCCTGGAAGAGGACGACGACCCTGGGGACAATGAGTTGGCCTGCAGCTTCCTAGTGGCTTTGATGCAGAAACACCGGCGGAAGGAGCGGCGCGTGGGGGGCGACATGCACACCATTGGCTTTGCTGTTTATGAGGTAACCCTCCCCAAGCCCCCAAACACACCCCCACCCAGCACTCTTGGCATGCCCTGATCATCTCATGGAGGGCTGGGCCCGTCAAACTCCAGAGAGTGAAAGGGAAAGGGTCTTGCCTAGCAGGAGTTTGTGGGATAGCCTTCACCCGTTGCCCCCTTAAAGCACATGGGGACAGGGACTCTGCTGTTCTTTCACACATCTCCTAATAGGCCTCTCCTCTCTCCGCAGGTCCCTGAGGAGGTACGTCCAGAGCTATCCATCCCACCACCAGAGTGTGCGTGACAAGGAGTGCTAGGCCTGGTAGGAAGGAGTCAGTTCAGGGCCTGGTCTTCAGAGTTCAACCAGCGGGCCCATCCCAAACCAGCCTCATGGCCTGGGTTGAGAAGTGTCCTTTCTCAGCCTTCCAGCACTTCTGGCAACCTGCCCTCCCTTTCTGGGGCAGTCACTGCCCAGGCCTCCCTTGGGCTGGCAGCAGATGGGGCACCAGAGTCTGCACTGCCCCTGGAGAAACACTCCATTCTGGTGCCCCAGGGTAGAGCTGCTCACAAGCTCAGGATGGGGGAAGGGTAGAAAGATTGCTCACCCTGTGGTAACAACCCAGCACAATGTATGGGCATAGGCATGCTCATATTTTCACTTAGTTGGCATGGTGTTAGTCACCATTGAGGGACAAGTGCTCAGTTAGCCAGGTCATGGAGATGTGTCAGTCTGAAACCCAGGACAGAGCTGAGCTCCTCAAGATCGCTCCTGTCCAGGATGAGGAGGTTTGCCCTGCTGCATATGGGTTGATCATGGGTGCCAGAGCAGTGCATGTGGCACTCGTACAGAGCTGGTGCTCCAGGCACCCCGGCACAGTCCTGCTTGCTCGCAGCTGGGACCTCACTCACAGGTGTCTCTGGTCCCACAGTCCCAGGGCTGCCAGAACGTGCACATGAAGAAGGAGTTCTTCCTTCGGAACCAGTCCCGTGCACGGTCAGAGACCTTCATCAACCTGCGGGAAGTGAGCAACCACATCCGGCTGCCCCCTGGCGAGTACATCATCGTGCCCTCCACCTTCGAGCCACACCAGGAAGCTGACTTTGTCCTGCGCGTCTTCACCGAGAAGCAGTCAGATACAGAGTGAGTCCACACACGATGTGAGCACACTCTGGTGGCACCTGGATGGACCTGGCTGGGAGTGGTGTTTTCTCCAGCACCTGCTGAGATGCAAGGGCTTAGGGGAGGAGATGTCCTGCCTCAGGGGGGATTCTGCAACTCCCTTGCAGAGGGAAGGGTCCCAGCAGGATAGTGGGAGAGGGGGCAGGGTCAAACAGGTCAGGGCCCTAACAGTGGAGCCCCACTAGCCTCTTAGAGCAGAGGCTCCAAGCCTTCCCCACCCATCTTGCAGTGTATGCCTCCCATCAGGTCAGGGCTGTGAGGGGCTCCCCAAGTGAGGGTGTATGGACCTCTCTCCAGGAATGTTTGGAGATAGGATCACCTTCCTGGCGTTTCTCTTCCCAAACTTCCTGACCTGTCTAATTCAGCAGAACCCAAAAGCTATGGTTTCCTACACGGGGACTCCCCCAAAGCCTATGGAGAACCAACCCCTCTACCCCCTGGCTGGCACATACTCCCCACTTACTGTGTCTTCCTCTCATGTCTCCAGGGAGCTAGATGAGGAGATCTCAGCTGATCTTGCTGATGAGGTAAGAACAACCGCACCTCTCCTAAAACCTTTACACAGCATGTCAGGACCCACACCCTTGTGAGCCTTTGTGGGCAGCACTGTGAGGCCTGGAGTATGTGTGTGGAGGAAGTGCCAGCTGGGGCCACCTGCAGGTGACTGAAATGCCTCTGCCTTGTGAGCCGGATGTGTTCCATTGGCAGAGGCCTGGCAGCCAGAGGACAGTTGGGTGGGTTAGGGCAGTGGTTCTCAACCTTTTTTGTACCAGAACCCATCTGTAAACATCAGTGGCCAGTCTACCCATAGCCCCCTGGCTTTGCTGGTGTCCCTCACTCCCAAGCCACAGCCCCCTTGCCCTACTGGTGCTTCTCACTCCTGACCCACTGCTCCCTGGCCCTGCTGGTGCTCCTAACCTCCTAACCCACTGCCTCCACCACCAGGCCCTAGCCCCCCAGTGTGTGGGGCAGAAGGGGCTGGGTGTAGGGTATGGGGAGGCATGTGCCCCCCAGATTTGTGTGGGAACAGGCCTGCAGCCTAGCCAGACCAGCATAGGCAGGAGGTGCCTCCGTGGCTCAAAGGGTGAGTCCCAGCATGGGAGGATGGAGCAGGGCAGAGAGACTAGTTGCTGCCGCTGCTGCTGCCATGAACCCCATACCAGTGCTGTGCCAGGAGCACAAGGAGTAACAGATGGAGAGACCCATGCTGGCCTCACCTCCTCCCACTGCCAGCCACTGATACTCCAGGACATGGCTCTGTCCCACCACCATGGCCCAGCTGCTGGCAGCTAGTCTCATTGCCTCACTCCACCCACCCCACACTGGGACCCACCTGCTGGGCCACGGAGGTGGTTCCTGTCTGTGCTGGTCCAACCAGGCTGCAGCCCTGTGCCCACACAAATCTGGGGAACACGTGCCCCCCCATACCCGATGTATTGCCTATGCCCCCTCACCCCATAGACTTACTTGTGGGTAGCTGCGGAAGCTGCTCTCCACCCTGCCTGGCTGCCACGTGCAAGTATGTGCACGCACATGCATGTGGTACCCCCTGTGTCCCACTCCCCCGAGCCCCAAGCAGGCCCTTGCAGGACTGGAACTCTGCCAGCCTGCAAGAGGAAAACCCATGCGTTCCTACGTTTTTCTCTGATTGTTCACAACCCTTTCAAATATTCTTGCAACCCCCTTTTGGGTTGCAACCCACAGGTTGAGAAACACTGGCCTAGGAGACAGAGATTGGGGCATGGTTGGAGTGGAGGGCAAGGGACCAAAGCTCAGTGGGGGGAGGCAGGCAGAGAGCTCCTTCTGCTGGCAGTTGTCTGCTAGAGCCTAAAAGAAGGGGAAGCCCATCCTAACAGGAGGGAAGAATCCAGACTTTGTTCAATAACCTGTTCCCCTTGGGTCTGCATTGCCCTAGGAAGAGATCTCTGAGGATGACGTGGAGGACGGCTTTAGGACCATGTTCAGGCAGCTGGCTGGAGAGGTGACTATTCGTGCCCTGGGTGTATGGGGGCCGGGAGGGGGTGCCACACATCACGCTTGCAGAGGAGTGAGCATTTGCAGGAATACCCAAAAAGCCCCATCAGGACCATGCCCTTTGGCACTAGGCATTGAATGAGCCCAGGAGAGCTTTGACCTGGAGAGCACTGATCTCCAGACCTGGGGAGCAGCACTCATCTCAGCCCCACTGGATGTGTGTCCCTCAGTTTGGCTAGGTAGGCACATCCCATACCCAGCTGAGGGCAGTGCACCCAAGTCCTGAGCCTTGTCTCCTGCCCTATCCCAGCATTTCCTGCCACCTCAGAGTGACAGTTGCCTTCCTTGCCCAACACGAAGTGTCACAAACCTGCAGGTCTCCATTGGCAATGGCAGACATCAGGCAGGGGCCAGCACATAGTGGTGGGCTTTCAGGAGGAGGAGAGACTGGGGGGCTCTCCAGTCCCCTAGAGCTGGGAAAGCTGTCAGGGTATTGTTAATGCTCTGCTCTTCTGGCAGGATATGGAAATCAGTGTCTTCGAGCTCAAGACTATTCTGAACAGAGTCATTTCCAGACGTAAGTGCTCTCCCTCCTACCATCCTGTGCTGGAGGAGTGGGGGAATACCTGTTCTGTGAAAGTGAATAACAGTCTCATTCCCTCTGCTTGCCCTCAGACAAAGACCTGAAGACAGACGGGTTCAGCATGGAGTCCTGTCGCAACATGGTCAACCTGATGGACGTATCCTTCTGCTAAGCCCTTTCTGCTGGGGGAGATGCTGTTCTGCAGGCTTCCTCAGTGTCCCTTCATTCTTTCAGAGACGGCTTTTCCCTGTGGGGGTTGGGGGGAGTGTGTACTTTTAGTCATTGTGGCTTGGCTCAGATGACATAAACAGAACAACAGTGGCATCCCCTGGGCCTGCATTACTCCTGCCAGATATCCTTTGTGTACCCCTCTCCCGCTCTGGGGGAGGTCAGATCTCAGTGCTAGAGCACAGTGGGTTACAAGACCCCTGGCCTGGCCTGTTGACTGTCTCATAGGGCATAACAGCTGGCTTTTCCTGTGCCCCAGGAGCAGAGCTCTGCCAGCCCAGAGCCCAGCTGCACTCTGGTTTCAGGTCTGCCTTCCCTGTGTGAAAAAGTGTGCCCACCCCTCATCCCCTACCCACTGTCATGCACACCAGGCCAGGATCCCATGCCTCCCAGGTGGATGTACTCTGACACCGGGCTTGATACAGGCTCTCCCTGCGGGTGGTGTCCATAGCTAGACCCAGCCCTTCAGCAGGGCTGAGGAAGGATGTTTCAGGTTCTCCTCAGCTCCCTACAGTGGAGCAGAGCTCCCTTGTCTCATGCTACTGAATGGTTGGGGCTCACAAACAGAAATCAGTGGCTACCGTGGTCTGTGCACTGCAGGCAGTGCAAAGGAGGCAGGAGCCTGCAGGAGTGAAAAAATGATGCTGGGCTGCTTCCACAGTCCAGCTTTGCACCAGCCTGTCAGATATGGGGTAGGGGAGCAGGTGCCAGCACAGCCCCGCAAGCTCACTGGTCTCAGAACATGGCATATACCACATAGGCACAGTGCTGCAGAAATGCAGCAACCTCCAGGTGGGGACATAGTGCCCATTTAGCTACAGCCTGGCAGTGTAGGAGGACCTGCACCCCAGTCAGTCTTGCTCAATGCACCCTAGGATCTTGAATAACCAGGGAGACTTTGGCCCTTTCCTACCTCTCCTTGACACTCTGTTCCCCAGAAAGATGGCAGTGCCCGCTTGGGCCTTGTGGAGTTCCAGATCCTGTGGAACAAGATCCGGAGCTGGCTGGTAAGGAGGGGGGCAGGGAAGTGCTGAAACAAGGTCCATACCTTTATGTTGCACTTACGGTGAGGATGTTTGGCCATCGGGCTTGGGATCAGGAGGAGGCACTGGCCCAGGTTGAACTCTGAGACTCTGTCATTGCAGACGATTTTCCGCCAGCACGACCTAGACAAGTCAGGCACCATGAGCTCTTACGAGATGCGCCTGGCTCTGGAATCGGCAGGTGAGACCCCAGCCTGGGGAGGGAGAACCTGGACCCTGCAGGGAAGTCCCTGGCAGCTGGTACAAGCACAACACTGGGGCCTCCCTGTTTCCTGCCCTGTGGGAGCTCCCTCCACTATCCAGAAACCACCACAGTAGCTGAAAGGCACAGAACACCTGATGCAAGGACTTCTGGTCTCTTGTTTGGGGGTCTGGCACCTTGGCCTCCTGACAGAAAGAAGCTGGGTGGGCGTGGGTTTCCCAGCTGCAGAGGGGCTGGGCAAAGGGGTTGTGACCATAAAGCCAGTGTCCTCCAGTGCATCTGTGCTTATTCCTGCATGGGCTGGGACCTGTTTCCCTGCTGTTGCTCGGAGGTTCCTACCCCCACAGCTGTAGCCCTCTTAACCACTACCCACGCCTTTGCCTGCCAGGCTTCAAGCTGAACAACAAGCTACATCAGGTGGTGGTGGCACGCTACACTGATGCCAGCCTGGGCGTGGACTTCGACAACTTCGTCTGTTGCCTGGTCAAGCTGGAGGCCATGTTCAGTAAGTGGCAGCTCGAGGAGCAGCTGCATGCAGCAGCATCTCCAGCCAGGGGCTCAGGGAAGCCAAGTGCTATGATCTGGCCTAGAGGCAGGTGTCCCCTAAAGGGTATGGAATGAAAAGCAGCTCCTGATGATAGCATCTTGCCTAGCACTGTGCTGGGTGGAATTGGAGAGGATGGCACCCTCTATGGGGTCATTGCTATTGCCCCTTCCAGCACCACAGCCTCTAGAGCACTGTAGGCTAGGACTGGCTCAAAGAGAAGAGCAGGGTTATGCCTTCAGGACCATGGGTTGAGTTTGTATCCAGAAGTCTCCCATCCAAGTCCTGATTCAGTTTGACCCTGCTTAGTTTCAAACTACAGGTGCCCCAGCCTGAGGCATGCTGGTTGTCAGTACTTTGGGGACAGGTATGCCAACCAGAAGCTGCCTATAACAGAATCCCCCTTGTTCTCAGTGCAAAATGAGGTGGCCAGGCAGCTGCTAACCATGGGGCATGAGGGAGTCAGGGCCCACGGGGGTGTGGGTCTCTGATAAAGAAGTATAAAGGAAAATCACCCCCATGCAGCACTCACTTCTGCCTTCTGCAGGATTCTTCCGCAGTATGGACTCTGAGGGCACCGGGACGGCCGTGATGAACCTTACAGAGGTGAGGGCTGTGCCTAGTGCTCGGGCCTTGGGGTGAACGGGAGGCCTGGCTCTGGTCCTGAGTTCCTGGGGATGTCCCACTTCTCATGGACTCTGTCTGGGGCCTGTCTTTTCCTCAGCCCACCCCAGAGAAGCCCCCAGGGAAAAGGAGGCATCCAGTTCAGGGGCTGGAGAGCTGAGGTTCAATCAAGCTGTCTGAGGGAGGGGCCAGCCTCACACTGGCTTGTGCAGCAGGGGGTGGGGAGGATCATTACCACAGCCTCTGCTGTAGGTTGTTTGTGCCCCATCTCCTCTTGGTGCTTGGGGGCAGTGCCCAAGCTGTGGGGCAGACATTCTGTTGGAGCCTGGTGGGGCCTGCGGCTCTGTAGCCTCTTCCCAAGCTGCCCATTCACCCTCTTCTCCTTCCCTTCCCTGCAGTGGTTGCTGTTGACAATGTGCGGCTAGGAGGAGAGATGGAACCGTGCTGGCTGAGACGCCCTGGTGGGCTGGGCTGCCCCAAAGTGCCTCCCTCACCCCGATTTACAGACACCCCTCCCGGCCCCTCTGCCTCCTGCCTGCGCCAGTCCAGCCTGAGTCTGCAGCTTCCTCCTAGCAAGAACTTTCACTCTAGCATGCCCGTGGCCAGGCAGGGGGTTGGGACTCAGGAAGCAAGGCAGGCCAGAGGGGGACCCTTCTCCTGCTGTAGATGTGGCTTACTCCCCACAACAGGAGGATGGTGGGTAGGGGTGCAATGTGTGTGGGCTTTGGACCAGCTACTCTGGGAGCCTGCAGGCCCAATGGCCTGGCTACAGGAGGTGGAGGAGCCAGTACCCACCGGGGATGGGGAAGGGAGCCTGCAGGTGCCCACTCCCTCTCCCTCCTCTACTGGCTCTTGCTGCTAATTGGACTTTGCCAACTTTGGGTACTGGGAATGGCCCCCTGGGCTGCTTTGCATTAGTGTGGGCAGAAACCCTGGGAGGGTGGGGGTTGCCTGAAGCTTGCTCGGGGTTACTTAGAGAAATAGGGTGGGGGCATTGGCCAGGGGTCCCCTGGGTTTTCTTCCTGGCTGAGGGAGGGGAGCATGGCCAGTCTTTGTGGTTAGAGAAAGACCCATCCCATCCCACCTAAGCATTAGGCTGCTGCGCTTGCCACTGTAGCATCCCAGCACTTCCCAAAGATGAACCTGACCAAAGCAGTGAGCCCCTCGGGGTGAAGCTGCCTAGGTCCTGCCCTCACTGTTGCTAATTCACTGCGTGGCCTTGGACCAGCCCCTCTCTCCTCCACACCCCAGCTCTCCATTTTGGTTGCAGGATGCAGTAGCTAGGTGCTGAATGCTGCTTTGTGCCCCCAGGAAGACTCTAGGGGTTGTGAATGCACATGGCACAGCCTTACAGCAAAGCTTTGTGGCATTGTTGCCCTGAATACCCCACCCCCAAGTCTTGACAGGACCCAGGCCAGGAAGTCCCCTCCACCCAGCCATTTCATCCCTCCAAGAGGCTGCGGGGCAGTGTCCTCTCAGAGCCTGTCCTGTGGCGCAGTGCCCTGCACCACTGCCAAGCCAGCCTTGGTCCAGCTGCCCAGGACTAGGACATCCTTTGGGCTGCTGTGTAGGGAGTAGTGGCCACAGGGCTCTTGTCCACTTCCTCCAGGAGAAGCAACCACTTTACACATGGCCAGAGCATCTACCCTCTGCCCTTTGGCCTGGGCTGAGCAGGAAGGGGCTTTGCCCAGCAGCAGTAGGGCTGGGACTGCCACTGGTTCAGGATCCATCCTGTTTGGCACTGCCCCTCATGTTCTCCCATTTGGCCCTTTTACACAGAGGCACAGTGGCCCCTGAATGAGGGGTCTGCTCTCGCCCCCTTCCTTAAGCACCTCTACTCTGCTGCTGCAGGGTGGGGAGAGGGGGTGGCCCCATCCTGAGCGCTGCTGTGTTGTTGAGGCGGGTGGGGTCTATGGGTGTTCCCCCCCACCCCACCCATCACCTCTGCATCCCCGGAGAACATGGCTGCATCGATAACCACTTCTGCCCCAACAGCAGACCTGCTTCCCGCTCACTGTGTACTCTGAGCAATAAACAGAGATCTCTACAAACGCAGCCTGGGCAGTGATTGAATAAGGCTGTCCAGCTCCCTGCAAGGGGAAGGGATTGCCTGTCCTCGCACCACCTCCACTGGTGCCTGGGCACAACCCAGCATCTGGTGGAGCTTCTTCGGCTGGACTGCATCAGGCCTGTTGGGGGTAGCCCTGCCTCTAGTGGGGAGGGACACTGTGCTCCTGGGCCGTTGCTTCCAGTTCCCTGTGTTCAGGCAGCCTCTTGTTGCTGTCTTTACACAGTCTAGGGCCAGTCCCTGCGGGGGCAGCAGGATGCTGCTTCTCTGTAGTCATGAAACTAAGTGACCCCATGTCTGTGGTGAGGATGGAGCCCCAGCCACAGGGGGGCTGAGCATGACTGGTGGGCTTTGGGGCCTGGAGGACTAGCAGGGTATTGGAAGTAAAGAAACTGGTCTGTTCTAGGACTAGCCATCCCTGGGGTGAGATGCAGCACTGTGCTGAGGGAGGGGCTGGATGGAGCCTGAGTAGCTGTGGAGTCCTGTTTCCTGGGGTCTCTGCCACCCCTGACCAAAGGCAGAAGCTGTGGGCCTTTGGAGGCCATTGGCTTTCCTTCTTTAGCCTTCCAGCAGTAATCAGCCTCCGGACAAGGGAGCACTGTGGACCAGGAGGCACCATGGGGCAGGGCTGGGCTAAGCTGGGCAGAGCTAGGAAGTTCGGCAATGCCCAGCGCTTCAACTAGGCACAACTGCAGGCAGTTATGGCTGCAAGCATTTCAGCTGGGGTGTCCTGTGAGCTGCTTGCTGGGCTGCAGTGCCACCTCTGCACTTTTCTGCCCTTTGTCTTCCTAATTTCTAGCTATTTACTTTTTCACAGTCAGCCTCTTTTCTACCTTGAATTACTACTACTGCAGTCTCTTTACTCACCTTTGGGTTCCCCCCTCCCCCCTTTGCCGCTCTACCTTTTTGTTTTCCTAATTTTCACCCATTTACATTTCCACTGACATCCCTCCACACCTTTAGCTTCTCTCTTTCCTTGGAGTCTCAGAACAGCAGAGACTCCCCATGCCTGAAGAAGGCTGATTGCGCCTGAAAGCTTGCTAAGAACTTTTTTTCCAACTACTCACATGGTCTTATAAAAGATATCACATCTACCCCAAGAAACCAGCTCTGCACTAGGAGGATTTTCAAATGGGTTCTTGCCCATGCTCATGGCTTATAATGTCCCCTTGCCCAGTAAGCACTAGGGGGCAATGCAGTCCTAGCATCATGGAGGTCCTGCAGCACTGGGGCTGTGCTCCAGCTGAGTAGGCCTGCTGGCCCCGGGCCTGGAAGAAGCTTGTATTAAAGCTAGCTGGGTGTTGGGACAGAGGCAGGGAAGCAGTTGGCAAGCCAAGCTGGCTGAGCAGGACCTCCCTCCAACACTGGGAGCTCAGCCCAGCCGCCATCCGGTGCAGTCATATCTCAGCCTGCAGGAGTCTGTAGAGGGGAAGTTTCCTGGCCTGCTGGGACAACATCCCAGTCCCTCCTGAATGTGAGGACACTACTGGGTGTTCACCTCCAGTGTTCAGAACACGTGGGGGTGCTGAAACAATGCTGGGTGTCCAGCTATGCCAGTGCTGGGCACTGTCACAGGAGAGAAACTTAAAGCTGGAAAGCAGAGGGGCCACAGGGCAGGAGTGAGGAGCAGTGGCAGAGCTGGGCATCTGTCACCCAGGGCTGGGACAATGGGGGGCTATAGATCAGGAGTGAGTAAGGAGCAATACAGAAGAATTTGCTGTCCTGTCAGCTGGATCTGGCTAGCTGCTCTTGGAGAAGGTTGGGGCCGAGGCCATTTGTCCATGCATTGTGGCTGCTACACTATATTCTCGGTATCGTTCAGCACAGGAGAGGCCAATGCTGCTATCCACATGTGTGAGCCCATACCTGTAGTATTTATCCAGGCCCAGGCCCACTCCCAGCACCTTGCACAGGAGCCCTGGATCTGAGAAAGCAGGCCACCTCAGAAAGCCTGGCACAGTACAGTCAGGGCTACTGCACTCATCTCAGCCCTGGTTTTTGGGTCAGGATGGGGCTTGCTCAGGCAAGATAAGGATAATTCAGGAAAGGGGGATGCAGTACAGTTTTTCAGTTTCTGCTAGCATTTATATCCATCAGTTTATATGCATCTTTTCTGTGCACTATGAAGTGCTCCAGGGAGTGGGGAACAGTGAAGTATGTGGGGGAGGGGCGTGGAAGCTGCTCAGACAGGATGGGGTTAAACATGGAGTGGAGCTAGGAGCAGAGAGCAGCCTGCCTCTGGGCTCTGGAAAGGAGACCACACAAAGCACTTGACTCTGGATAGGGACTGTGGGAGGTCAAAGCAGTTCTGCTTCTTCCTTTGAGGCTGTGTGGATCACAGCTGGATGCAAAGAGCTTCCAGGATCCTCGCACAAAGGAAGGATGCTGAGGGGGGCAGGCAATATTTCTGCTACATTGCTCAAAGCAGGATTCACCCTTTGGCTTTGCCAGAGGCATTTGGCTCTTGCTGACTGCTAATACCCTGAAAGGGAGTCACAGTCCAGCCCTCTCTAGGCAAGGCTTGCACTTGGGACTTAGATTGCTTGCAGGTGTTGCCTTCCCTGACACCCCTGACCTGCAGTGCAGCTCTGCCAGTACCCTTCAGTCCT